AACGTGCTTCGTTTGGAATCCAGAGCATTTTGAATTTCAGGGTTATGGAGGTGCGTGACACAAGTCTACGATCGAGTTCGTCGAAAAATATACACTTATCTCATGATTTTGAGCCTTTTTAGAAATTAGAACATTAGGAAAAGTACTTATGTAAATGCTTGTTTGATCAGTACTGATAATCAGTCGCCTAGATAGCCAAAGGAAGTTCCAGATGTTTACACTATTTTCCGGCCGCCATATTGGTGTACTACGGAGGTACACCAACATGGCGTTTTCATACTGGGCTCCGTAAATATCTGCGAAACATTTCGACGAATATCTGAAGTTTGGGGAAACGCACAGGCCTAAAACTTGGAGAAGTGTCTTATTTAGTTATCTTCTATAACATCATAATTTCATAGCTTTTTCCAACTGATGGTTTTCGATTTGTTTTTTTATTGCGTGACAGTGAAAACGATCTATAGACTATTTTACCGGAGCTTAAGAAGTCCCCGGACTTCCCAAAAGAAATTGTCGACATCAGGAAATCGCTCTTACCACATCTAAGAGCTGCCAGGAAACGTGGATGCGCGGCGAAGCTGGTGTACGACAAGTTCAAAGGAAGCCGACAAATAATTATAAAGAAACATTTAAATATAGCACTCTGGTTTTCTGGTTTTATATTTGTCTCACTTCAATTTTCTCTCGGCTGAGACGCGGCGCCCGTTTAAGCAAGTCTAATGAGTTGTATCTTTTTCCGGTCAATTTCAGCGCCCAAATTTAAAACGAGTTCTGCAATAAATGATTTATTTTTTAGCAATTAATAAGGCTATCTTATGTGTAATCTTTTCTTGTGTGTATTAATAGCTCCTTGGTTTTGTTTTTGTTCAATGTTTTTGGCTTTAATAGAGATAGAATTTATTTTAGGTGCTCACAAGGTCTTGTGTCGTTCTGCTGTCTGTTTATGAGCTAAAAAGTCTACTGAGGTAAGTCAATTTCTCTTATTGTCATTATGCTACACTCTTTTTCTTGCGTCACAGTTAACACAAGGGGTCTTAATAACGCGCGAAAAAGAAGACAAGTTTTAAGATGGCTGCACATAAATAAATTTCAAGTAATTTTTTTACAATAAACATATTGCTCCAGTGAAACTGAAAAACTCTGATCGGCGGAGTGGGGAGGCGAAACGTTTCTCTGTCAC